AAGGAAGAAGAGAGCCTCTCTTATAGATAAAGGAGGCCAAAGCTTCTATAAGAAGCTAAAAACCAAGGCCAAAGATCCTCCATACACGTGTATAGAGGATGCAATCTGTGCCTTCCAACTGGCACAGTTGGCAACAACTCACAAACACAAAACAGGAGGAAAGGGGCCGACCAGTTCAGGTGGTCGGCCAGCCAGTTTAGGTGGTTGGCCAGCCAGTTCAAAAGGGTCAACTCAACAAAAGGTGGTCAGCAGCCCCATTTGGTGGTCTCCCAGCTGAATGCAAGCTAGTGGTGTGGTGGGAGACCAACAATTGTGGCCCAAAAATGAGGGAGACCAGTTACCTGACAAGAAAACTGGTCGGCGGGGGAAAAGTGATCTCCAAGAAGAAAAGGTGGTCTCCCACTCTTGTACCACCTTCCAAACAATGAAAACAAGGTCCATGCCAAAAATAAACCAAGACGGATGCAAAACGAGGGTTCAGGGGCCAAAACGCGGAGCCGGGTGCCCCGAAAACTGACTGTTAAGCATCAAAAGTGGCGTGCGACCACGAAGGTGGTCTCCCGGGTCACAGTGTCCCTCTAGATAGAGGAAACAAGGTGTATGCCAAAAATCGGAGCAAACGGAGAAAGTTAAGCGGTCCCGAACCGAGACGCACGGCCGACGGCTCCGAAAATCGGAAACTAGTCTCCAAACGGGAACACTGGTCTACGACCACGAAAAGTAGCCTACAGCCATTGATAGATGGTCTATGAGACCTCTCCCTCCCTTCGGGAAGAGAAAACAGAACTTGGTTCGTAAACCGAGGCAAAGCACAAAAGAGTCCCGAAGTCCGAAGGCAAGGCTCTCAGCCGAGACTCTGTAACCTCAGAATGAGCACAACATGTGCAATCACCGAGCGCTCAATCGATGACATCTGAGTCTTAAGGTCGGTCAAAAATGGAGTGTCAACAGTCTCATGCTGTTGGTTAGTAGAAATCCTCAAGAGAGGGTTAAAACCATTAGGCATGAGTGCCTCAATTTCATGCTCAAGCCAACAAGGGGCTCAAGACCACTTTCAAAGCAAAGTAACAAGTGAAGAATAAAGTGATATGGCAAACATTTCAGTGCTGAAATAGGATGCTAAAGACACTAAACCATGCAAGCAACGCATGCACAACATGTTAAGGGCCAAAGGCATTGAAACTAGTGACAAGAATTACACTAGAGGCATGCAATATCAAACTCAAATGGCCAAACCAGCTCCAGACAGAGCTAAATCATGCCAAAACAGTGGCCTAGATATGCTTAAACTTAGGCACAAAAGGCAAGAAAAACATGCTCACATGTTGGCTCACAAACAAGACACAAAGCACAACTCTCAAAAGCAATGAAAGAGTGGAATATATGAGAGTGTGACAATGACATGCTCTGAAATTACATGCTAAATGATATTATATCATGCAAACATCACAAGCAAAGTATGCTAGAGGCCCTAAAACTCAAAGCTAGTTAAGGCACTTGCACTATAGTTATACAAAACATGGTTCATATGACCAAGACCACTCAACATAGAGTTAAAGCATGTCAAAACATTAGCAAAAATGTGCTGGAGTCAAGCTAACACAAGCTAAAATAATAAGCTTACTCATTAGGCATATTAGGCTAGTAAGCATGATTACACTACAAGTGCAAGATGCAAGCAACAAGTGAACCAACCAGCCAAAATCAGAGTTAAAACAGGTTAAAACAGAGCCTAAATCATGGCTGAAATAAGCTACAAAAAGGCATAAATACATGCTCACATGTTAGGCCACCAACACATGCAAACAAGATACAAGGAGGGGAGGCCAACCTCTCCTATCTTGGACCTCAAAACATGGTTTTTCTCACTGAAAAACCTCTGATTTTCAGTGGTAAAAAGGGCCAAAAAGTTTGATTTGAAGGTGATGAGAAATGGTGCAAAAGGCTTAACAAGCTAAAGAGCAAAAGAGGGGATAACCCCCTAACACAAAATAGGCTCAAACTACCATTTTTAGGACTGAAAAACAGAGTTTTTTTCAGTTCAAAACCACCCCAAAAACAGCCTCAAAGTAGTTGAAAAATATGGCAAAGCAAGCATGCAAAATAAGCTAAAACGGAGAGAGTTATACCTCTTGAAGCACAATACACAATTGAGGCAAAAATCCAAGCTAAAACCACCTTTTGGAGCTCAAAACAAGTCCCAAGCTACCTCAGCCCAAAGATAATCAACTTTGGTTAAGGAAGTGTATGCAAAAGTATGGTGTATCTAGGCTCTTATGCACAAAATTACAAGAGGGAGAGAAAATTCTAGAGAGAGAGCAATCTAGAGAGAGAGGCTCCCTAAATTCTTCCAACCCTTCAAAATGAGAGATATAGCCTCCAAATATAGCAAAAATGCAAGCTCTGGCCGAAAATATCCCAAAAGGGACAGCTGTAACAGTTGGACAACAAATATCTGCAGAAAATCTGATTTTTTCATCAATGGCCAGCACTGGATCACCGATGGCCGGCACTTTATCATTGTTGGCCGAGATGAGTCACAATTGGATGGCAGGGGGTCGGCATAGGCCATTCATGGCCCACACATGGCCAGAAAATTCCATTTATGGCCAGCATACTCCACCTCTGGTTGGCTAGAAAAATCTGCTTTTTTGGGCCCAACTTCAAATGGACATAACTCCTTCATCTGGACTCTTTTGCCAGTCATTCTTGAGCCTAAATTGAAGTTCTGGAAATCTTCTTTCCAATGGTGGCAGCGTCACATCAAAATTCTAACTGTGCAAAAATATATGCTCATTTGAGTGAAGACTGCTCAGTTTCAATCCTGCCCGGATTCATGCCGAACTTCTTCTCCAACTTGGTTTCTTCTCTCCTCTCCTCTTTTCTTCAAATCCAAACCTTTAAGCAAGATGTTTTGAATATTTTTGCAAAGTGTTCACCTCTCTTTCATTTATTTCCACTTTGTCTTTACTCGGTTTATCGAAAAGCGCAACATTTAACGAAATGCGAGTCTCGGAACATCATAGAAATTTTTTCAAAAACGTTTTGAAAGAGAGGGTTTTAAGGTCTAAAATCTTTTTGGTTAAAATATTTTTTGGCCCAAAATAGGGATGTAAGGTTGGGATTTGACTCTCTCATTGCCGAAGAAATCGAACCTCTGCACTGCACACCTTTTATCACCAAGTAAATAATCAGTAGTACCCAAGTCTTAAGGACGGTAAAAAATGAGGTGTCTACAATTGTAGTTGAAACAATTGTTACGTATTCAATGAGAAAAAGTATGAACCAAAAACTGTGGCACCGCAAAATGTGGCTTGATGCCTTTTAAAAATGAAAATAATAATAATAATAACAATAATAATAATAATAATTAAAAACAACATTTATATAGAAGCCACTTACGCACACATATACATACATATATACCCAGAGAGAGAGAGAGAGAGATATTTAGAGGGACTGAACTTCTAATCTAGAGAGAGAGATATTTAATTAGTGTGCGAGTTTTCCACTATTGCATCATGAAAACATCGTACTGAAGGAAATTTAGAGGGATTGAACTTCTAATCTAAAGCTAATTGAGAAAAAAATTCCTATGTTAATGGTGGAAGATACATGATGCATCTAATGTTTGTGTGTTATGTCAGGTTAGTTTGATTGTTTCAATTTGTCATTGAAATGGAATTTGATAGATTAAGACCACTTGGGATATGGATCTTAGAATCATGGGCTTGCACAAAGATGATGATGTTCGCTATCTCTTTTTGACATACATGTTACCTCTTTTGTTTCCTTCAAAACTGGTCTTATTCGAGCAAGAAATTAAATTTTATAGTCTTATTCATAGAACGAAGTATCTAATGGTGAAGTATGATTCTTAAATGATTTTAATACCTTTGTGTTTATGATTTTTTGACATTTTCTATTTTTCATCAAACAGGCTCAACAGTTGGGCAACTTTTTCTTGGTTGAACTTCCAAACAATGTACCCCGGTGGCTATACTGCAGAAGTAACATGTCTATTTCCTAGAGCAACGGAGAAGGACGTTTATGATTTTTTTGCTCACTGTGGTGTAGTTGAACATGTGGAAATCATTCGCTAGTTTTCAACAAATTAGTTTCTGGTTACTGGATTTGAATTTGCTATGTAGTTCTTGTCATAATTTAGGGGTTGTTTGAGATGACCTAAATAAGTGTACTTTTTGTCTTTTTACAAAAAAAATGTACAGAAAAATAGAGAGGTGATGTGATGAAAAAAAGATAAAAAAATAAAAAGATGAATTATTTTAGATATGCCAAACTTAACCTTAATCTGTTTCCATTTTATTCTTCAAACTTTTTGGGAAATGGTTCCTTGTGAAAAGTCAAAATTTGGATCTTTGCTTGATGTACTTTTGGCTGTCTGGTTTGAAAGCAGATGTTGCACAAATTCCAGTTGCTTAATAAAAGGTGGGTTTAGGCACAGATTCATTTCAAAATTTGTGCCTTTTCAGGCAAAGTTCATGCTTTAATACAAGGCCATTTGAGCATTGTGAGGCATTGCACAATTTTTGATGTGAGATCTGTCATAGGATATTACTGAAGGGTATGAAGTTAATGTTCTGCTTTCATTTGTGTTTATAGATGGGAAAAGCTATAGTTGATGCGTTAAAGATGTTGAATTTCTCCACAAAATGATATATAGAATGTTGAAAAATTAAATTGCCACCTGACAACTAAGTGCACTCTTAACCGCAAAATGTGTCTTGTTTTGATCTGTTGTATAGTTTAATTAATTGAGAAGATTTTAAGAAAGCATATATCAGCTGGTGTTTGTCATTAATTGTAAATTATAATCTTTTCTTTTATCTCCTTGGTTATAAAATTAAGCATTTCATATTTACCACCGAAAAAAAAGAGGTATTTTTATTAGAGAACAGGATGCCCTACTGGCTTTCCTTGCTTATCTATACGCTCAACTATCTGGTTGTGTCAATTTCTGATTGGGAATTTCTATTTTGCTAAAATCAGATCTGGCGAGTATTCTTGCACTGCCTATGTGACATTTAAAGATGCCTATGCTCTGGAAACTGCTGTCTTGCTCAGTGTAAGTTTCTTACACTCCCCTCCCCTGGATATGGGAAAGTAAGGGTAACTTTAGAAGGAATTGATTTTCAAGACGTTTTTCAGCCTCAGCAGTTTCAATATTACAAGTCATTGATCTGCTCTTTGTTTTGTCCTTTTGTTCCTTAGATAAAAAGGTGATTGTAGAACTTATGGTATTAGCTCATTGGATCTGCTAAATATATAGCATTAATGAAGAATCTTTTTCATGTTGTGTTTGGAAGCTCTAGTTGTTATGAAGTGATGTTCCTATAATCTAGATATCTAGTGTGATATTTGAATTTTGATTTGATGATTCGTCCTGCTCAGGGAGCTAAAATTGCAGATCAACATGTATGCATATCATGCTGGGGGACATATATTGATGAATCAGATCCTTGGAATAACCCGTCATAGAAGCTTGGAGAAGAAAATAGCTCAACGGTATGAACCTTCTCTTTTCCCTATTTGTAGGTAAAGTCATGAGTTGTCATGAATTGTTTAGTCTTGCTTAAAAGAGTTCCATTAAAGAGGTAAAACAAGTATCTTTTGGCCATCTTTTACAACATAGTGAACAAACATTCAATATTTGGGAATCACCGGATATTATGAAGTTTGGAAATTATTCCACAAATAGTAGCTTGTAGAAGTAGCTAGCATAACTCTTACATCACTAAGTAAAAAGAGGTTATTTTTTAATTATTGAGCTATGTTACATGGACCATACGAGTATTGCGTACAGCCAGTGTTGCAGCTGATTTGGGTAGTCACGGTGTTAAAAAGTGAACTTTTTTGGTCAAGAAAACCCGTTTTCCGGTAATGATTCTTGACTTCTTTAAATTGTTCATGTTAGATAGATTTACATATAAATCAGGAGAGTTTTGTTGTACATCAACAAAGTATTTTGTTTGATAATGAGTTACTAATTGTGCTTAATGTGATATGATCATTTGGGTTCATTTGCAGCACTACAAGAAGCAATCCTTTTGCTACATTCATAACTTTAGAATTGTTATATCACAAGGGTGGTGGCCTGGTGGGTAGTAGGCGGCATATTTGTCCTGTTGTTATTGTGACCTCTGGTTCCTTATGAAAATGCCCTTTATGGGGTTGGGTTATGATTTGTTGTGAGGTGTTTATATACATGGCATAGGTTGCACAGAATATACAGGTTATGGACAAATTAATAATAATAATAATAATAATATCATGTTTTATAATTAGTAGCCAAAAAGGAAATAAATATTTTTAGCGACTAAATAGTTAGTAGCTAACAAAAAATAAAACAAAAACACTATAACACTAAGCCTTATTATTGTAACCCAACACTATAACACTATAACACTAAGCTCCAGTATTTTAGCTAAATTTATGTCAATTTATTAGGGCTTAAAACAGGAACTCAAGCCTTATTATTGTAACCTAACACTTCCAATACAAGAGTGGCCTTCAAGGCAGAATCAGAGACGCAGCAAGTTCCATGCAGTCCACTGCTAGACTTGCCATTTTCATGTTGTGTGTTTGTCAGCATGTAAATGGATTGTAATGATCACTATTTTGTTAATACCCAGCTCTGAGCTCTCTAGTAATTTTTACCTTAATGTAGATAAAGGGATCAACCTTTTGTAGTCTCATAGCTAAATTGCAACATAGTGCCAGGGTTCACATTGCAGGGGGAAATGCAGATTCAAATGGCTTTCTAGATAAATAGAGATTAGTGAACCACTCATATATTGGCTGACTGCACTCAACCCATAGAATATACACTCAAATCTTTGGAGATATTCAAGTATGTTTCTCACAACACTCAACCCTCAAAATCTGCGATAGAGCTCCTTAAGCTGCTGCACAAGTTAGCAAACAGTTAGAATAACACACATTTTTGTTGACCTTCACTCAACTCTCATTTAGAAAACTCACATCAGATTTAGTCATGTGCTATTACTTATGATAAGCATTTATGTTGGCTAAAACCACTTTGGACATCAAGTAATCTTGATGAATTCTTCAAAGGCTTCTAATATTCTTTATGGCGTTGTGCTGCAGAATGTTTAGACTTAGTAATTCTATATACAATAACCCAAATGGAACTTATACCTAGGGTGTCCAAGGTAGTCCCACAATGAAATCTGTGGTCACATGTTCCTATTTCCATTCCGAAATAGAGAAAGGTTGAAGTAGCTCCGCCTATATCTGATGTTCGACTTTGACTTGTTGGCATTGAAAACATTTAGACACAAATTCAACAATTTCTTTCTTCATAATAGGTCACCAACATATTTATTTCAGATGTCAGCTAACTTTACCATAGAAGTTTGATCTATTCCCTTGTCACTGAAGTTCAATTCATTCTTCAATCATTCTGCAATTCATGATTCAATTCAGTATTTGGTTCAGTGACTCATCACAGTTATCCAACGTCAATCAAAAGTCTTCAGGAATATAAAGTGGATCCAGACACCGATTCCCATGTCAGCAAAGGTAACAACGAGCAATTAACGACATGACGTACATAATTTATATACTTCCATAGCATCAATTATAAAGTACAATAATACCAAAGCAATCAATCTCTAACATAGCACATATTTTCTCCACCATTCACAGTTTACAATTCGATTTTATGTTCCATCATAGTCATTCAACATTATTCGGCAGTCATCAAGAGCATAAAGCAAATCCATAAATTAATCCCATAACAGCAAATATAATACCGAGGCAATCAATCACGAGACATACTAAATTCATATACTTCCAGATAGTTGAGGTTTTTGAGCCTGTGTAATGTTCATTATCAAATAGATCGTGGTAAATCATTTCCATAGTATCGGGTTTAAAACACGATATCACAGAATCAGCCACTCTCTAAAACGATCAACTACTGGACTTGCACAATTCAGTTTATTCATAACACATATATCCCCCATAGTTGATGGCTGATTCTCAATAGTGTTCATGATTAGATCAGTCTATTGGCAGTCCACATGCGATTTTTATCATAAGGTAATCGTTCAGACAATTCAATTCCCATTAGAAATGTAATTCGGTCATTCGTTCATAAACAATTCATAATTCCCCGGTAAACAAATTCAAATCAGACAAGGGTTTTCCAATCAAACATAAGTCCTATCAGATCAGATCAAATCAAATAAAGTCCGGTCCAAGGTCACAGCTAATTCGTTTAGGTAGACAATCAGCAGTTCTTACAGTTATATCAAAGTCATGTCATGATAGTTCATATTGTCTCATAGTCATATCTGTAGGCATCATGTCATAGTCAATAGTTTCACAATTGCTATAAGGTCATCTGTTCTCAAGATCATACATCACAAAAGTTCATACCGAGCGTTTCAGATCATATAAAGTGTGGTATTCTGCAAATAAGTTCACATGTAGATATACAGGTATGCGGTTGTTCATAACATAAAGTTCTTCGTTGGCACATATAGAGTTCATTAAGCAAGTATTCTAAACAAATCATATTGTCACAAATCGTAGTTCTAATAGTCTAGTCAAATAGTCTAGTCCATCTTAATCAAGCAAGATACACCATCACACATAATAGAATTCATCATTCGGTTGCCCAATCCGGTCACATAATCACAGAGTCATAATGCCGATGGTCTAGTCGGTGGGAACAAGTAATATAACAAATTGTCCCGAGCAAGGGTATGGATATATAAATATATATGCCCAAAATCAATCAACATTCCAAGTAAAAATGTCAATCAACACATAGGCATTGCTTTCATTACCGAAATTAAGGCAGAGATACTATATCATTACCCTCAAATACAAATTCTTCATGTCCGTGTGGTCTAAACAAAGCCCATTTCGTTCATATCAAAATGCCTAATATCGAGAGGCAACAAATTTATAATAACGTGGCATTCCTAACACATATTTCACAAGCACGATATACAGATGAATACAAAATAGATTCCCATTATAGAGCAGATACACACAATAGACAAGGCGATGATTCTATGGGTCTATTCAATCTAGATGCAGACACAGTAGATACAAAAGTGTGTGTTGACCCCGAATCTATTAGCACATAAGCATCTTGATTGCAAATAGAGAGAGTACCTGAGACAACTATGACGCCCCACAACATATAATATTTTACAATTAATTAATTAAAGAGATTTGGATTTTAATTAGTCATTATTTTGATTTAATTTGGGATTTATGAGAATTATAGAGTTTGATTCGTATATGATTTTATTAAGAATTTATTTTGGAATTAGAAATTGAACATCCAAATCGTTTAAAAGGTCCAATTGATCAGTTAAATCAGTTTAATTTTAAGTATTGACCCATTTGGGAGTTTAATTAAACATTTGATTCAATTTAGTAAAATTAAGATTTGATTAATTGGGTACGAATTGGAGTTAATTAAGTTAATTATGTTATCAGGAATGTGAATTATGATTACTATGAATTAAATTTACTTATGAGGTATTCAATTTGAATATGTAATTTATTGACGTAGATTTTGAGTTTGATCTAAAATTGAAGGCCTTAGAGAATTGAGAAACCAAAATTGATGATAGCAACAAGCTTAATTTGATATTTTGAGCCTTTTGAGAGTTTGATTGAAACTTTTATTCAGATTGGTAAAAATTAAATATAATTAATTGGGCCTTAATTGATGTCAAATACACTAATTAAATTTTGTGGGATTTGTGATTAATGATGATTAAATAAGTTATGTAATAATCATGTTTAATCAAGATTAAGTTGTGTTTAATTAAGATAATGTGTAATTATGTATTAAGTTAATTCTAATCATAATGTAAGTTGTAAAATTATCTAGAATGTTTAAGAATTTGTGTGTGTATATATGTGGTTGTGATGGAGCTCTCACTAGTGTGTGTATATTCATTTGGACTAAACTTTGTTCTGGAAGAAAATGTGATGCCCCAATTTCTACTCTAAGGGATAGGGTAACGTCACTAAAGAGTCCTTTAGTCAATGGCCAAGTAAGATCCCAGGAAGGTCGGAGGGTCAATACAGCCTCCCTTCAAAGTCCAACCACCTTAGATAGCAAACTATCCTTTTGACAGATCTTAAGAAGTATTAACGCAAGGTCTCATAAGTAACGAGGAGATAGTCACAGGATTACAAAGATATATAAGCAAATAATAATTACAATGTTTCAAAACTTAAATTTCAAAACGAGTTCCATTACTATTACATTTCAAAAAGCACGAACAGACTCATAAGCAAAATGGCTTCTAATTTTCTCTAAGGCAAACATAAGTCTTCAAATGTCTCTGGCTCGTCGTCGGTCTCGTATGTTTATTTGATACCTGGCATGAAACGCCATGAGCTTTGAATGCTCAGTAAACGCACACACATCCCATCCCTTTTTCCTAATTCAATACACAATGGCAATTACAACAATAAAGAAGGAAACACGATATTCAAGAAAATAACAAAGGTTACAAGGTTAGTTGTTAGTAAACTAGAAATCCCCCAAAGAGACTTCGTCCTCCCAACAACCAGAATCAGATGCAGATTATTCGGTATACCCTCTCTTTTGCTGCTTTATTGCAGAACTTACCTCGGATGCCTACCAACGGTTATCTACTACATAGCACTAACCGTAGGGCCTTAAAAGAGACGGTAATAATAGGCCTTCCCCAAATCTCTCCTTACACCAAAATACCAAGAGTCCGAATACAACTGCTCCATTCAAGGGTTCTGAAACAACCGTTTGCGCAAGACATTACTTTCAAGAGGAACACATCCCGCTAATCAATTCAATTTCAACATAACTTTATCTCATAACAGTACTCATGTGATCGAAACCCCATTAGCCACCCATTAAGTTTTCCGTTGAGATTTACGTTTTAAGTTGGTTAGTACAAGCAAGTAACAAAGAAATAAATTCGCATAGATCTAAGCATCATTGAAGGAAAAAAATAAAAGTTATACACCCATGGCATATGTAACATCATAC